TTCCTACCGTCGGACTTCTCCACAGTATAGAGCGAGAAGGATCGTTTTTGTTTTTCAGTGCTTCTGACGATATCTCTTTCCTTTTTCTCCTCTTGTGGCCCTTTTCGTATCACCACTTCCATATTCGTTTGCGATTTCACACCAAACAAACCCTACCCCTTGGCTTCACTGATACCTCGTACGTCCCATGAAGCCAGGGATACCAACCAGCCAGGGATCGGTATCATATCTGCGTCGTATCGCTGATCCTGCATGCTCTTTCGCCTCGAATTTTATCTCTCCCCTCGGTTGATATTATCCCTCATTTCGCTGTCTGCTCTCAAACTGCTCAGCGTAAACAAGATGGATCTTATTCTCGCTGTCTTGGCATATTCTTTCCCTTTTCTCGACTAGCGATTCTCTTCAACCCCACCTTCATTGTCTGGCCCTCTTACCACACCGAACTGATCCTTGGCCGTGCCTTTGATATTTTTAAACCTTTTGTGAGCTTTTTATTGTCAGATGTGGAACCACTTTTCCACATACAATCTTATTCAGAGTTGGGGCAGTATCGATTTCATGAGGGACACAGTATTAAATCAACTAGGCTTTCGCTGGGTTGTTCGGAACTTTTCAGAGTTGGCGATTCCTCACAGAATTTTTTCTTTAACGTCACATGTGCTTGAGGGTAGGAGAGGGGGTGGGGGATTGATAAGGGTGAAGGAGTGTTGAGTAACTGTAAATAGAAGTGAGTGGTGCAAAAAATGATGACCTATGTAGCAGATGACTGGGGAACTATTTTGACGTTAGACAAATAAAGAGCAGATGATAAGGAGGAGTTATAGTCACACAGTAACCAAATGTTTTTGGTCGTTCACGCAGACGTTTTTGCGACGGTGTTCTGTGCAGTCTGAAGGTTGCTCTTCGGAGTGCGATTTATTTATTATTATACATTTATAGAAACCTTTAAGTGGACATGGAAATCCTCTTCTGCAAACTGAGCGCGTGTTTGTTAGATGCAGCCAGCTCACTCATTATATGAGAGAGCATTTAGCGTTCCTAAGTAGCCCAGCGAATTCCTCGCTCTACAGTTTCTGCCAAAAGTTGTCCCCCGTTAGGCGGAAGTGAGCTCTTATCAAAGTCGATAATGTCGTGCACGTGATTGGCAGCTGGTAATGATGACGGCTTCTGGATAGTGAATCGAACCCGGTCACTGCTCTCACTCTTAGTTATATTTAGGACGAGAAAGAGCAGAAAGAAATGTTCTCTCTCATCTAACATCGCTGTTATTTATTACGTCAATTGTCGTTCTAATTGTAAGAAACAAACTTCAAAAGATGTAAGGTGAATTGCGTGGATGCGGGGGGGGGATTAAGGGCTAATTGAGTGATTAGCACAAACAAATCAATTGGGCTCAAGTGTGGAACAGTGGCTGCTGACAAGTCTTCCAACAGAAAGGGAAAACGCTGGAAAACCCTGAATTCAGGGCCACCTTCTTTGAACATTTGGCATGTTCTCGAAACACACGAAGAAAGCAGATTGGGAGCAGGGTCAACCCTACGTTGCTACAAGTAGCAACGGGGGGGGGGGTGTCGTTGTGAAGTTATGTGAGGGCGGGCGTACTTGTTTTTTGAAAACACATGTCACGAGGTGAAATGGGGAGCGCACGGGAGAAAATTTGCCGTTTCAGTGTGTGTATATAGCTATCCCTAGAAAATAATGCTACTGAAATAATGATAATAATGATAATGAAATAATGAATAAAGATAATAATGCAATAAATTAATGATAATAAGGAATAATGGAATAACGAGTATAGATATATCTACTTATATTATAAGCGCTAACTTTGTGTGTCGGTTTGTGTATCTGTATGTGTGTGTGAGTGTGTGTGTGTGTGTGCGTGTGTGTATGTATGTATGTGTGTCCGTCCGCAAAATGAAGTGAGTGAGAAGGAAGCTCATGGGATAAACAAACCGCTAACAAATCGGGTAGCTTACAGGATTTGAGATATCAATGTTTTGTAGCAGGATAGTTGTGATAACACTCTTAGGGCTATATAAACACCTGCTTAGCACACTTCCGTTCATTCCACATGGTGCTGCAGTGGCAGCTGGAGGGCAGTGGAGAGAGGAAGGGAGGATGAGGAAGGGAAGCGAAAAATCTACCGTCATATCATGATTGTGTCCCTTCTACTGTTTGAAACACCATTGTGTTGCATACGCGTCACTTCCACGAGGTGTTGGTGTCACAGGAGGAAGGGACCATAGCGGAGGATAGAAAGCTTGCGCAGGAAAGGAAGGTCCCGGCGGTTGACGGGGGACTAATCTGGTGTTAATGAAAATTAATGGCAAGAATGAGAGCGGAACGTTTTTGGTAAAAATAGGGAAATGAAGAGAAGATAGGGAAATCTGAGTTCCGCATGATTGTTAATACCCTTCCCCGCCCCGCTCGACGGTGTTATTTGAGGGAAAAAGTAGTTGTGAAGAGGGGGTCGTATGAAACTTCTCGTGAAGGAGGGGGATGTCGTAAAAATTTTGCAAGAAACTACCAACGTGATAGGACCGACCCTGATTGAGAGTACTGGCGCTGAGGAGGAAGAACAGATTAGCAGACGAGAGAGCATAGCAAAGAGCGAGACGAAGATATCGCAGCGATAGCCGTGCACTGGTGGAACCTTCGCCGGACTTGCTGATCCCCATCTTACGGAGCAGGGGGAGGGATTCCACTATTGAACGTATACGTGCAATGGCCTCCAAGAGAGCAATGCTTCATATAATAATCGTTGGAAAACGACAACCAAACGCGACCTCCTTACCGTGCTTCCCGCAAGGCGACGTTCTTCCCTCCTTACCCAATTCATCATTCCCACGGCGCAAGCGTGCATGGGAATAAAAATCACCGTGAATTTACGTAAAAGTAAGCACTTACCTTCGCTCGTTTCTCGCTCTCGGCCATTGCCAACTGATTATCCGAATTGGCAGAGTGCAGATGCTTCTCATCTTCTTTCCACGCTTCAACGAGATCCTTTTGATTCTCGTAGAATTTCTTCACAGCAACTTTGCTTCCGTTCCAGCACAAATACATCGCTGGTGAGATAGTGACTGAAAATCCAACTGATAAAAGGAGGATGAGAGACTCACCTGAATAAACGGCAAGCTGTCAAGGAAAAGGTGTGAAATAGTGCGTGAATGTAAATATGTGCGTGACTGCACATTCAATAACTACACAAATGAAACTTTGAAGAGATAACTGAAGAAAGCGTGTGTCAAAATCCACAATGAGTCTTGTGTGCCACGATCAAGACGGAACGAAGGCTGTGAGTTCTCCGTGGTACCACGGGTACACCACCTACTCAGCCAACCACTCGCCATAATTCTTGGGGACGAAGGATGTTAATAAAGTCGTATCAGTGAACATTTCTTGACCCTAGATGGGACATTGACTGGAGCTAATTTCGGCAATCAGAACGGAGACACGTCCTTTGTCAGCTTGTATTTTTTAATATGCTTGTTTGTCGCAATATTGATAAACGCTGTATTGTTATCAGTGACAGCAATGTAATGAAAGGCATAGAATGTGACATGCGCGGGGCTGAGACAGCCATGTGGTGACAGGAAGATCGGGTGGTTTCCCATAAGGCACTAGTGTCTGAGGATGAGCAAAAAGAAATGTAGGGGTACACCCATGAGCTCAAAACCCTTCGATCCTCACTTTTTATTGTTTCCCTTTCATATCCCTTGCCCAAATTACTTCCCATTAAGCAGTCACCTTTTCTTCACCAGTAGTCCTGGTACTATTGGTTGTTTGTTCCTAACATAAAGCTCTCTCATGTATCAACATCTCGGAAGATCCGTTCTTGAGGAAGTTAGGCTTTTGCTGTCACAGCTCCCGAATCGTACCAGCAAAGCTACTGCCGCTTGCGGATTTGTTAGGCTGGTGTCAGAGTTCACGATGCGTCGCTCGAGCTGCGCGACGGATCACAGAAATCACAAGCATCCCTATCAATACAGCTAGTATGGTGGTTAATACTTTCGCTTGATGGTGATGGTTGAATGACGACTGTTCATGATTCTACTTGTTTCATATTCAGTGTTTCAAATGTTAATATAGGCACTTGCGATTTTTGCGATTCGCGCGAATCGCGCGACGAATCGCGGACTCTGACACCAGTCTTATGTTAGAACGTGCACCAACTTTATTTACATTACCCATAAATATGATGGATGGTCAATTGAGGGAAACATAGGAAATCAATAGGAACGGATGATTTTAGATCATGTTCGGTGCTAATTAGAGCTCAGGATATGTGGGATATTAAATCCATATTTCCAAATCTTCATGAGTCTACGGAGATGTCTAAAATAACGATTAATTTATCCAGACCCATTTTCAGTGCCGTTCGAGATTGCCAGTCACAGGGTGGCTGCAGCGTGTATCATCTACAAGTAAAGAACCCGCTGAAGGATAAATCGAGCCACCGGCGCACCATTGGTTGAGGGAGCGTGATCTCGACTATTATATATGTTGGTAAGTCCCTTTTGCTGCTTGGAGCTTGACAGGCCCTAACCGGTTGTAATCAAAAAGAAAGTTGAGGAATAGGCTCCAGAAAGAATAAAGTAATAGCCACGGAAGGCAGTGTGTAAATGGGCTAACTAGATGCTCAGGTAGGCATGTGGGTGCTACTTCGCAAAACATGTTTCATCTTTACCATTTTTCTTGGATTTTTCGACAGCAATAAATGTAAAGTGATTCACTAATTATGGGACAGCCTAATAGTTTCAGCATTATGGCCCACTTCCAACTTATAAAACCGCAAGTTTCGACCAATCATTTTTTTACAAAGCCATATTGTAATGAGAAAGTTATGGTGACACAGCAAAAAATGCGCAAGAAAATTCTGGACAAAGTATTGCGAAATGGAAATGGCTAGTATTGAAAGTCGGGATTCTTTGTTTTGATGGCAAAAATTTTTGTGGAAGCCAAAGATATGCGATCGATTTCAAGAGGACAGTTTTCCATTATGGAAGGCCTTCACTCTATAATATTTGCTATTGATTGATCGATTTATTTGGATTTGGTCAGCGATATGGAACAGAAATCACAGGAAGACGAGGTTGAACGAACAATGAGTCGCAAATACTTATCGCAAAAGTCGTAGCGAAGTGATAGGGAAAGGGAGGCGCGAGATGGTGTTTTCTTTTGCCAGCTCAACTTCATGTCTTTTTGACGTCACTCTATCGGTTATGGGCACTATAGGGCGTTCTGATGTAAAGGATGAAGGGATAAAGCTGTCAATATTTCTCAGTCGTTTTTTTGGGATGCGCCACGCATCCTATTGCATTCCTACGCTAGACATAACACTTCTTATAGACTTTATTTTCCTCTCGAAAACCACATCATAACGAGGCAGATCAACTCGTCCAATCCGTCGAGAGTACCCGTAATTCTGCATTTGGCGCAAGTTCCAGTAGATCATTCGGTAGTTCTCATTTTCCTCAGACCATAAGCTGAAATTTCCAGCATTTGTTTACTCATTTTCTTGCACTCAATGGCACCAAAAAATGTCCAGTAATAACAACCGTAATAACTCAAGTAGAGAAATATCTAATGTCTAATCTTCATCACCAATAATATTAAACCAGCAGAGAAATTAATGATTCAAGGATTACCGAATAAGCAGGAAGTACCAGGAAAGGACTGACCTACTTAACCCCCTTCTGAATGATAAGGTGCTTGAAAATGTAAACTCACTGCCCACGAATGGCCAATTGATTGATTTTGCCCTTGCTGGCTAGGCGCAGCAGTTCTGGGTAGATGGCCACTTCTCCCCCACTCATATCGATCAGCAATAGATCAATGACAGCTTCGCCGAATATGCGAGTCATTATGGCTCCTTAAAAAGCATTGATTAGTGAAAGATAAGCTGTGAAGGTCTCTGATGAGATTTTAATGAGCTTCCAGTGATAAGGATGCTCTGCGCAAATCGATTCACATGGGTTAAAGTACATTCCTGTTTGTATTTTCTTTGCAAGCTATAATGTAAAATGATGACCAACCTAAGGTGTCAAGCTTCCATTTGCCATCGACGGTCTCGTTCCTGTTGGGTGGTCCAATACCGTAAGCGGTGAATGTTGAGGCGTGTACTGAAAAATAGAATGAAAAAATATCTCTGTGAAATCATTGCTTACTTTTCGGTCAGAGCAGAGCTTTGAGAACTCCACAACTTTCAGTTCACAGAAATTAAAAGTGTTCAAGAATCAACTAATTTTAGGGACAATAGTTCGCGTAACAATTCAATATTCACAGGACCACTATCATTTTTTACTGATAAGTTCTTTTCTAAGCACCCATCGAAAGTTCAGTCCCGAATGTAGCAGGGAAAACACACTAAGCTTACATTACTTTTAAGCTAGACATATTAACTTAATAGTGCAATTTAAGAGACTACTCAAGCAGGGGAAGCCGGTGTAATGACTTCAGTCACGCTAAAACTAACCTTTCTGGTGTTGGTCTTGGAGTGATGATGTGGAAATTGGGCAGTCCTGCCAACGCGCTAATGGGGTGTATGTCGAGATTTACTCACCAAGCTCATTCATATCTGAAAAAGTGAACTAAACATACAAGGTGAACTGAAATATATCAACATAGATCCCATAAGGTGTCGCCGGTAGAAATAGGAGGGACATTTCTCTTTGTTTCTGGAGCTCCTTCTGAAGATGTGGAAGAAAATATGGGTGAACCTTCCACTTCTGAGATACGCCGTGTTTGAGCTCAGTGTCTCAAGGCGCGCATAGAAATGTACACTTCATTTTCAACTGACCGCTTAACCCTGAAGACCTTTTCCTGGTCAGCCTAGGCCGATGTCAGACTTGTGAATCGCTAGCAGCAAACTGCTCAATGCGCAGTCTGACATCGGCATATGTGAGGTGGTAGGAAAAATCAACAGGAAAGTGCCCGATGGAAATCAAAGCGCAAGCAAGTACCGAGCTCGTGTACATTTCAATATTATGAACTGTGATGATCATTGGCCCTGACATTTTTGCTCTTCGCAGGACCAGATAAGAATAAATGACAGAACTAACGTAATCAATGCCACTTTGCTTTCATCGCCGAATTTTCTGGTGCAGAAGGACGGAAAAGATCCGCTAAAGGAGTAGCTGCAGTCAGCTGCACTTAGGTAATTCACTAGCCTCGCCAGCTCTTCCTTCGGTGACCCTGGAAATACATCACTGACGCCGTCGTTCTTCTAACTTTCCATACATTGACTATCTGCAATGTTGCACTTTTGTATTGGAAATTTAGCTGTTACTGTCAAATATTTCGCCACAGGCAGGACTAAAACCCGCACCTCTGCTTCCCGGACAAGTGCCTTGCGAGTTATGCTATCGGGGCACCGTTTCGCACCACCTCAGCCTTCCAATTTTCATTTCTATTTCCATCCCAAATAACAGCGGAAGACAACAGGAGTGGTTGGTGTTGTTAAGGCAGTCATACTGCCAAGTATGAAACGTACTGACCTAGACCAAAGACGGGTGCTGTGAGCCGCAAACGGGATTCAGCCGAGTCCACTCGCATCAAGCTGACACGATATTTGCAGTTTTGACTTTCCTGTCCACAAACTCCGCTGGATGTGGCGCCAATAAGCGCGTAACCTTGGGAGTAGAACAGCCAGTAGAACAGCCGGTACCTCAAGCAGTATACATCAGTTCAACGCTCTCATTTTTGCATAGTGCTGGGTAATTCACCATTCTCCAAGCACGTTCGTGGTTTCAGAATCGCTGCCCGAGTCCACGTTTATGGTCAAGGCCAAGTGACGTGCCGTCATATTCTGTAAAGGCAGAGATTGTGGGCAAGTCTTATGGAGTTAGGTAAGCCGTGAATGTAATGCAATACTATTTTGTGGGTTAATTGATTTCAATTTGGGTCCAAATATTCCCGGACATGCTTTGAATTGGGATATTTGTGAAATGTAAAAGAACGTTCCACTTAACTGCACTAGCTGACGCACTACACTAGGCTGATCGTGAGCCTGAAATTGAAAGGCGTAGAGTTCCAATTTGGCCATATCGTAGGTCCTGCCACGAATCGCGTACTCGATATCCCACGTTGCCCAACGATCCCACTGGTCCAGCTCAGTCAAGTAATGCACCTCACGTCCCCTGGAAAACGCATTAGTAGGAGATTTTTCTATGGAACAGCTCAGTTCAACAGAGCAAATCACCATCTAGTTGTTGCACCAGATCACTTCTTTCCGGAACAAATACGGTCCACCTTTTTGCGGCCAAATCTCGCTCGAACTTGCCCGATGATAAAGTGTTACCAGTTACAACTAGTACTTGTCTAAAATGCAGTGCGCTAACTGACATCAGGCTATTCTACCACCAACCTACTCTATCGGTCCATTCTCCCCACAAGCCGTGAACGATTCGGACGTGTCGCCGAAGTGAAGGGTTTCGTTGCACCTGAAATGAGTAACATGCCTAGACGCACGAGAGCATTTGGAAGCCGTAACCCTGTTCGAAAATCACCATAGATGTTCTTCATAGATCGAAGGAGAAGATTCCACTGATCACCGGAAGGCCTCGCGCAGGGAGGGCATCAATTTGAAGCGTGGGTAAAGCCGGGAACATTGATTTTTTGTTACTAATTCGACCAGGTTTGGCAACTGGTGTCTCGTCACCCAGCCTGCCCATTTTTCAGCCCAATTTACGGTACTATTCAAGCAGATACACCCCAGAGTCTCCGGATGTTTCCTTGCGAAGCCTTGATTGCGATCCGACATCTCATCCGGTTCAATAGCAAGACGAAATGGCACGAGCCTGCCGACGCATTTATTTTTGAAGTAGGGTGCGCGAATGGTGCCGGGGACTGCAGCCCAGATATGCTGTCACGATATTCGGGGAATCCATGAGCGAGGAGGAGTGTTGCCTATTCAGGGTTGGGGAGAGAGATGAAGGCTGTCACATGACATCACTCTCATTTCAACAGAAGCGTTTTCGAAATGCTCTTACGCCTGCTTCGTATAATATAATTATGTTATTTAATTTTTTATGTTTTAACACATTGACGACATTGAGACGCGGTAACGCGTCTCACTTTGCGCACCTCGTTGGACATTGAGACGCGTTACCGCGTCTCACCCTTATCATCCCTTTTTCTAGGGCATGCGCAGCTTTTTCCCGAATTGTTTGTCTCTCTTCTATGGATTAGAACATAACATTATTGTGAACGACATAGGTCATTGTTTTGTTCAAATATGCTCCAGTTTAGAAGAAGTTTTCCCAAGCTCACCGAAACCGGCGGCTTGGTTCATTAATAGTTTTCATGCTATTCTCATGAACACGTCAATAAAAAAGGGTAGTGAAAGTAAATGCAAATCTAAAGAGACAGAAAAATACATGTTTCACTTGGTATAACCACATCAAAAGAGCTTTTGGCATCCACTACAGATAAAATGACTAAAGTTTTTTTCATTACCATTACATGTTCTTTAATCGGAACTTCGTCACTATATACTCTATTACCTTCTACGCATTGACTGTTACTGAGATGTTTTTGTACCACTGGTGCTTTAAAAAGTTATCAATAAAAATTCACGGATCCGAGGTGCGGCGGTCGCACTCGCAAAATCGGCCCGGTCCCACACGGCCAAAAAAGCCAAAACGCGCGCGGTCGTCAATGTGTTAAAGGCAGTGCCATAAAGGTTGAGTGTTACTTGCTGCGTCGTTGCCTCGAAGTGCTCATAACCACATTCGTTCTGCAGAAACCCCTACTCATACCATTGGATTCAGCCTAACCCTGCACCAATTTTATTCGCACTCCTCTCACGTTGTTAAAGAGCCCTGATTGTAAAGCGAATGTCATCTTGAGGTCACAGAGCATTGGCTTGGTTAGCGAATAATTGTCAGGAATCTCCTCGTGTAAAGAGGACAGCTTCGTGGTCGTTCTTTTCGCGCAAGTATCATCGCACCTGTAGCGCTGCTCCATAGTCCATTATTCCTCTTTATCGGATGCCAAGCAAATCGAGAATTTTCCCTTTCGTAGCTGAGAGCAGGTGCCACCGTTGGATTGAAGGCGAATGCGTCCCAAGGCCGTAGGCTTATGAAGGATGTGGGAAAGAACAGAGCCAACTTATGCTCTGAGCTATATTAGCTGGTGGAGGTGGGTCTACTACTGCCTCGGTTCCTTGCTTAAAGGCAATCCGTGCATTAAACTGCTGCATAAGATGCATCATACGTAATGGAGAATGCGAAGGACTAAAAGTCAAAAGAAGGCAGAGAATCAATCGAAACGGCTACAAATTAAGCCTTGATGTCCAGTAAGATGCGGATGTATATAAGTAGCGGAGGCGAGACAAAACGATCAGAGAGACAGAACCGGCGACGAGAAGCATCGCAGTCCGAAAGAGCGCGATCCCCACATCAATGGCGTAGGGTGGAAGCGTTGCAATAGGCCTTATGGTTGCAGCAACCTTAACCGAAGGAAACGTCCAATCCGCATTTTTGTGGCGAACAGGGTTGTAGCGCTTCTTTAGCGGTAGGAACACTACAGCTCTCATCGCAGGGCTTTTCTATTGCTTAAGTTCTTACTAGTTGGGCTGATCTCCGAGGCTTGCCTTTAAGCGTGGTTCCTCATTAGATCAATCAGTTGTTACAAAATTTCCTCAGCGAGGGACAAGTAGTAAAGGCAAAAAAGGAGCGAAATGATGCTTGTTTACTCAATTTTGTCTCTGAAATGAAAGAAAAGGTGGGGAGGAAGGGGGAATGGCATAATGTTTTCGGTTTTTGCAAGGTTGGCGAATGACGAACACACTTTTTAGACGGTTATACTATCTAGAAATGTAATCGTTGGCATCAATGATCGGAACACAGGAGATCTCGATCCGCCCCCCCCCCCTTTCCTTCGATGAGGTGTTCATACCAAAACATATCACAGCATCGTTTAGATAACTTTCAATCGTGAGCGGTGGCAGAAACAGCAGCTAACAAATCAAAACTAAGCCAAATCGAAACTTCTAGTTAATGTTAAACATTTGGATCAGCCCACCTATATTGAGGCACCGCCAGAAATTCATTGAGTCGAAGTTTAGCGTATAGCGAGTTGTTGATGAGGACAGGAGTCTCGACATCGACTGCTCTCCACTCAATCGCTGGCGGTGAAAGAACACTGAAAATGTGAATCGTAATGTTTTCTCTGCTTCAGCACGGGAACCCTCCAACTGCTTGGTTTGAGTATCTGCCGAGGACGATAGGACACGCCACGCAATCGTATCGCACTTAAAAACGTAGCGGCATTTGAGTGCATACTTGGAATTCTCGAATGACTCATCGGATCAGCTGATGTGAACAAAGTCCAGCGTTTCATGCTCGTACGTGGATGATTCTGGCTTCAGTGAAGTGTTTCGCGAGGTAGGTAAGCTTAGTAAATAATAGTCACTCTCACGAGCTGCTAAACGCCCCAAAAAGTCAGTTACTTGTCTTCAGGCTCAGATGTTAAAGACGCCCTCCCACTTCCCACATCATTTTTTTCGTTAGTTAGAGTCCATTTATTTTATTCGCTTCATTTTGAGCTCGAATAATTCAATCATCAGTAGTGAATTCAACATACTCGTTCAAGTCGAAGCTGAGCTCTCGTTGAACCTCGTCATAGACTTTTCGAAGGAATACCACGGTGACTGCGATCAGCAGCAGTCGTAAACTGAGCAGCGAATTCAGGCAGTACATTGCTTACATCTAAATGAAAAATTTAAGAAGCTAAGAGAGATGATAGAGAAGCAACGGTCTTGCAAGTATGACAAAGAGGGAGGAAGAAGGCATTAGGTGCTTAGAAAACAGTAGAATCTTGTACACCTACTACAAATGAATATGCATATACATCTAGTGAAAATATATCATAAATCGATATGAATTGATGAGATACTCGGAGCGGTCGATGAAATAAGCATAATATCCAGGAGCCGGGAGCAGGATCATTCGTGCGTTGCGCCAATTCCAATGGGGAGAGTCCGGCGGAATAAGGAAATAGTAAGTGCAGAAAACAGTGACAAAATTCGAAAATCGCAAAGCATTGCAATGGGGGGGGGGGGGCAGATTTCAAAAGCCTCTGCTACTACGAACTAAACTCGACTACACGGCGCATCCTAGAGCATAACTTCTTATTAAGGGCTTCCTATCCCAAGCGACCAAGCGGAGCATTCGCAACGCTTTCAGACGAATATCAAATTAGGAAGAAAGTACAACGAATTTGGCAGATAGACTTTTAGGGACCTAACGGAAACGTTTGGCGGAAGGTTTTAAAGGAGAAGCTTTCAGGAAAAACCGTCAACGTTATAAACCACTAATAATGAACCCAGTTGTCGGCGCAATTGTGTTTCCGGGGAGGGGAAGGGGGTCAGCTCGTGACACTGTGTCAGATTCTCGATCTCATTTTGACACGCTCAGGAAGCGCTCAAGGAACGTTCATTTTTAGTTAACTTAAAATCATTAGACGAAAAGAGTGAATCAAGGTGCGTAAAGCAATTCTAAATTCTCTCGGATCTCGTCCTCCGTTAGGCCTAACCCGTGGCATTCCTACATGACCGACTCACCTCCCCCCCCGGTTGCGCCTAGTTCTTTGTGAATTCAACCCTTTCCATAAAACAATTTGAAGAAAGTCATGGCCGTTGAAAACTTGTGAGTAGCCAGAAAAATCATGGAGGGATCATGAATCATGAAAAAAATGAAAAAAAACGACGCATCATTTATTGAGAAAGAATTTTCAGAAAAGCAGTTAACCCTTCTGAAGCTTCAGCCTCGGGTTCCCTTCCTTCTCCTATGTACGAAAGGCTGGTTCTGAAGAAGGCTATCAACACTTGAAGCAGAAAAAACTCACGTATTTTCCAAACTCGACCTGGCCCCCCCCCCCATTTGCTAACCCCAAAATTATAACGACGAGATTTCGGAGCGGTCAAAGTAGTATTATTAGCTGTCCAACCCCAAAATAGCTAAGAATAATGTAGAAATCATCGGTAGTTCATTTGTGAGGCTGGCTCTCTGATTGGGCTTTTGTGCAAGAGCTTATAAGATATCAGAGAACGAGGATTTGAGCATTTCAATTGTTAAGTCATTGTAAGATTCACCACGGGTAATCGTTATGAAGGAAAGTACCGCAATCTTCCTGTAGAAAGGAAACTGAGCAGAAACAAGCACACAAACACAACATAGCGTGGCAGTAATCAGGGCGACAAACTTGGCTGCGCCCATAAAAGCACTTACTCAAAAGGAGCACGGGCGATCGTAGAACGGGACAGCGACGATTGTGAAAAGACGACCTTGGAGCGGCAATCCATACCGTGTGCGCTACGTAAACAACGCGTTCGTTACGAACGGCAGGAACTGGTAATTGAAGGTGCATCGCCCTTATTACTAGTCATAGCAGTTTTGACTTGATTAGCTTGTCTACTGCGTTTAAAGGAAGCGATTACGATAAGGAATTTTCGCATCGGGGGAGAACCTGCGCCACACGGAGCAATTACTTGGCTGCCAAGGAAGCGATGTGTGGTCCTCCCACGGCGAAAGGTGCTGTGGTTGCTGAGCAGGACCCGCGTGACGCCCCGCCCCCAGTGACGTGACGCCCACTAGTTTTGTTGATGATCTGGATGGACTGTTTGCTGTTGGCTTTTCATTTTGGATGATCATTTCCCTTCTAGCGGCTGTATCTTCCAACTTGCCCACGTATTGCCTTATCAATCAGAACACTATGCTTGTTGGCATGATGGCGGCTATCGGGGTTAACACGTCCGAACAACGTCGTTCTTTACCGTCGCTCATCCATGGTCGAAAATGAAAGGGCAATCAAAGGGGTACCATTTTGCTTATTTTCGACGGATTTCTTTGCTTTTTTCGCCATTGGCGTACTATTGAGACCCCCACGTCCCCTCTAAACCCCTTTGAGATCTATCGTAATCGCTTCCTTTAAGCGCCCAATCTCATTTCGCCTTCCTGTTGGCGACCTGCTGGGTTATGACAAAATTTGGCTCCACGCGATATCGAAGCATGCACGCTTCCGCTTGTGGCGTTAAAACAGCAGTTAATTGCCGAAAACAAGTCAGAATTAGATAATGTATCCGCAACAGGTTCCAGTCTTGCCGGTCTACTGCCGATATCGGCCTCAAACCAATGCCTCTGTTTTCGAAAACCAGGTGTTCGTCGAGTGCAGACCACACAACACAAGTGACGACGGCCTCCACAAAATGTAAATGTTTTCTGCTGACAATGAAATGATTGGTAGGTTGCAGTTGTATTCTATCAGCTGCCACTATCATTGACAAACCATCAGCAACCACTTTGTCCCTTACGGTATCAGAATTTACTTGGAGACAGTTGTCACTGAGTGTGTGGTCTGCGCGCGACGCGTACCTGGTTCTCGGAAGCAGAGGGTACATACATTACTAGAACTTTCATTTGAAGCCTGCTAAAAGATTAGTTTCTGACTGCGATGGTGCTGGTAGTCTATGCCAAAGTATACTCACTGTATTGTCGAGTGATGGACCTCATATCAATACCCGGATATTGTAGGAGCTTCTACGGCTTACTTCCCGCATAACAAGCTCTCCAATTATGAATTTTTGCTAGCTTTGTTTCACTTTGCCTTCAATTCATTCACTTTTGCCGCTACAGGTATTTTATCCATGAAACAAAAAGACAGAACTGCATTGAATGGAAACCCTTAACTCAAAATGGTCAGTTTTTCCACATGAATTTTTAGAGACACTGAATGGCATAGCGTTCGATTTCGGGCGTACATTTTCTTTTCCCTTGAAGATGGACATTTTCAGGCGTTATAGGGGCGCAGTGAACAACCGCCAATGCTGCAGCTCCACCTATATTGGGTGAGGTTAATCTACAGATGAAAATCAGCAGTGGACACAGCCGTCGTCAGCGATGCGGTGAAATGAGTCTTAAGGTCGGATCCTTGGCAAGATACATGCGCTCTCTTGGATGATGTTGCGTTACAATCACCGAATACCTTGCGCCATTTAGGTGAGAAGAATCGGAAGAGCGGATGGGCCAGCATCTGGTGAATGCTGAGCATTTCCTTCATGTTGCGGGATCGCTGCATTCCGAATCACCGCAGACACCCATTGAATTTAGATCAACTATCGTGGCACTATAGCGATCCAGTGACTTTGCCACAACTGTACTTCCAATGAACAAAAGACATACTGTGTCTGGAAGTTCAAGCTCTGAATGTTCGTATAGTTCTTGATACTGTAGCTATAAGACAGACTATGACAATGAAACCCAAGAAACTTCAAACCAAAAACGACTTACATGACAGCACTTTTCACTTCCTACATTCTTTTGCCGAAAGCACCTTCGTATCGTAGGTAAAGAAATTCTAACATATAGTGAATTTTGACTTGTTTGTCAACTATTGCTTTAACTTCGCAGTTCGCGTTGCGAACGTTTTACAACCTACTGGGTTATCAACAAAATCGCTGCCACTGGCGGCTTTCGAGGACCACATTCGACGATGCCCAACAGGACCCTCGCGCAGCCAGGAAGGTAGAGTCACAGCGAAATAGTCGCAGCTTTCGTCCTGTAGTGGATTACTGACTGCTATGAGCTCTCCTCCATGTTCTCTGCGCCGCAAAGACAAGAGCACAGCGACTAGAGAACGGCGCCTGGGTGGGCTTCAAATCCCAAGAAGAAGCCCTGAGATCAAGCCTCTGAGCGGAGTGATCTCCGGGGTGAGTGAGTCAAATACAGTGCTGCCAAAGCTGAGTGTCTGACACTGAGAGTGCACCAGTCATGAATCGCGATTAGATGAGAGAGCGCAGGCGAAAGCATCGAATTGAGGCGGGCTCAAAGGACCGAGTCAAGTTGAACGTAGGGACTGTAGTGATTTCGCTTCAAGGGGATGATACATACAGATTCTACATGGGGCGCCAACACCGGCTGGGACTCGTCCACTAGCCCAACCCCCTTCTTGTCTTGCCGCGCGACGGGCCTCGGTCGGTGCCCACACATTTGAAGTCCCGCCTAGAGCGAAAGTTTTGTTCAATGACCAGTTTCTTGTGAACAGGAGGTAAGTTTGTAAAGTGTTTTTTGCTCCATGATTGTACCAATTCCTCATTGCTCACTTGCTGTTGATTTTGAAGAGGCGCTTATCGCTAGTTCCTGCTATGATGGAAGTGCCGCTATTCCTATGATGGAGTGATTTGAATAACCTTTGTATTTATTCAGATGTGGCATTTTTACCGTTTCCACTGTATGGATTTTGCCCGTGCCTGGTGTCTGCAGTAGCAGTGCGTCGTTTCGACAGCGGCCTCGACATGTACAGTTATACAAGGCGCATCAAGGTGGACATCCCAAAATTTTCCTTATATGAGGAACTTTTGAGTTCTGCACCATGAGACCGCCACCATTCATTTCTCGTATGCGGAAATTTTAGAATTTCTTCATTTCTCACCACTTTACATGCATCTTTAATTTTTCCAATTGATGGATTGATTCAATTTTCCCATGTAGCAATAGTATGCAAATACTTTTAAAAAGGGAAATATCATAAGGATTAGGAACCGGTAGCCCTACCAAAGCTTCTGATAAAAATAGGCATTCTACTGGGTGCATCTATTTCCCAGCACATGAAGACGCATCACCAGGTTTACTTGTGATTTTTCGGGGTACCCGACAGGAGGTCGCGCGGTGAGAATCAGAGTCAGCGGACGAGTCGCAGCGCG